CTGCACAAAAACCATAGACTGAAAATAAATATGGGCGTAGTGTGTGTGACGTCGCCATCTTGGCCGCAGATAAACGAAAATGTGCCGCGAGGCGGATTAGCTGAGGTGACGTGACGCTAACAGACAAACACTAGTAGTGACATCAGCGGCAATCCACCTGTCACTCAAGTGGCCACGCCCTTAATTATGCACAACTTTAATGCTTAATATAATTTAAACGGATGAGTTATACAAAAATTCACCCGCCTCACAGTCGTCATGAAGGGCAAAGTTAGCGATATAGACCAAAACCACTTTTTGCACCAGACTGTAAACATGTTTTATTCTGCTGTAAAGTTGGGCATTTTAACATGGGGGTTTATGGGATTGAGTCTCTTCTGCAGCCGGTCTCTAGTGGCCAGTGGAGGAACTGCAGTTTAACTCAGTTTAATAAAATCCAGCTTTTAATGTTGTTTAAATTACACTCACCGGACACTTTATTAGGTACCCCATGCTAGTAACGGGTTGGACCCCCTTTTGCCTTCGGAACTGCCTCAATTCTTCGTGGCATAGATTCAACAAGGTGCTGGAAGCATTCCTCAGGGAGTTTGGTCCATATTGACATGATGGCATCACACAGTTGCCGCAGATTTGTCGGCTGCACATCCATGATGCGAATCTCCCGTTCCACCACATCCCAAAGATGCTCTATTGGGTTGAGATCTGGTGACTGTGGAGGCCATTTTAGTACAGTGAACTCATTGTCATGTTCAAGAAACCAATTTGAAATGATTAGAGCTTTGTGACATGGTGGAAGTAGCCATCAGAGGATGGGTACATGGTGGCCATAAAGGGATGGACATGGTCAGAAACAATGCTCAGGTAGGCCGTGGCATTTAAACGATGCCCAATTGGCACTAAGGGGCCTAAAGTGTGCCAGGAAAACATCCCCCACACCATTACACCACCACCACCAGCCTGCACAGTGGTAACAAGGCATGATGGTTCCATGTTCTCATTCTGTTTACGCCAAATTCTGACTCTAACATCTGAATGTCTCAACAGAAATCGAGACTCATCAGACCAGGCAACATTTTTCCAGTCTTCAACTGTTAAATTTTGGTGAGCTCTTGCAAATTGTAGCCTCTTTTTCCTATTTGTAGTGGAGATGAGTGGTACCCGGTGGGGTCTTCTGCTGTTGTAGCCCATCCGCCTCAAGGTTGTGCGTGTTGTGGCTTCACAAATGCTTTGCTGCACACCTCGGTTGTAACGAGTGGTTATTTCAGTCACTGTTGCCCTTCTATCAGCTCGAACCAGTCTGGCCATTCTCCTCTGACCTCTGGCATCAACAAGGCATTTCCGCCCACAGAACTGCCGCTCACTGGATGTTTTTTCTTTTTCGGACCATTCTCTGTAAACCCTAGAGATGGTTGTGCGTGAAAATCCCAGTAGATTAGCAGTTTCTGAAATACTCAGACCAGCCCTTCTGGCACCAACAATCATGCCACGTTCAAAGTCACTCAAATCACCTTTCTTCCCCATACTGATGCTCGGTTTGAACTGCAGGAGATTGTCTTGACCATGTCTACATGCCTAAATGCACTGAGTTGCCGCCATGTGATTGGCTGCTTAGAAATTAAGTGTTAACGAGCAGTTGGACAGGTGTACCTAATAAAGTGGCCGGTGAGTGTATATGTCTATGTGGTGTTTTTAATACGCTTAAACCATGTGTAAGTTCATAAGTCGACAGCATTGCTGAGTATTTTCTGCTTAAAACTGCAGTGAACCAAAGACAGTCTCAAAAACACGGTTTGAAATCGCTGGTGTTTCTGACGTCACAAACGACCTTGTAACCAATCAGATCAACGTGTGATCGTCAACCAGTGGATCTCTGAGCTGAGTGAGTGAGTGGTCATTTGCATATTCATAGAACCGCGCATACTAAATGAGGCGAGGGTGTCGAGTTACGTTCAAGCTAAAAACGTTTAAATGTCATTCTGGTGATCAAAGATGAGTTTTAATGGATACAATTATTAACAACCGGGGGACTTTAAAACCTTTACCAATTGTTATGATGGTAATATATTATTGTAGTGAAAAATCCTAAAAAAGATGTCTCAATGTCTTAATGTTGTCTCCGTCTCTCTCTCTCTCTCTCTCTCTCTCTCAGAGAAGAACAACAGATGAATGCTATTTCCTGGAGCGCCTGGAATCGAACAACTACAACACGTACAGATCCCGGAAGTACCCGGACTGGTACGTGGCGTTGAAGAGGACGGGCCAGTATAAATCCGGCTCGAAGACCAGCCCGGGCCAGAAGGCCATTCTGTTTCTGCCCATGTCAGCCAAGTGCTGATCAACCCCAAACCAGACTGACGCGCTCCTCACCGACCCGACACCGAGATGACGAGCGGATCCAGAAGGTTAACGGTCAACCGGATCGCTAGAACGGAAGATTTTTCACCGCCAAGATCCGTGTGTTGAAAACGCGCTTCCCTTTAGCATTTAAATCTATGAAGCGTTTCCATGGAGAGCATTACAGGGTTTATTTGTTCGTGGAGATACAGTCAAACCAAAAATTATTCAGACACCAGATATTTTCACTAGTGTGATCAGGACACTATAGTTCATTTAGTGAGAAGAGCAAAATAAAATAAACAGTGACACATTATAACCAATAATTCTTCATACCAGTAAAATGTATACAAATTTGGGAGCAAAAATGATTCCTCCACTTTGAGCTGATGATGTTTTGCTGAAGTGTGTTTTCTGTAATTGCTAATGCTCTTTTTACACACACACTGAACAACATGAAGCATTGCTTGGTCACTGGTTGAGCTAAACTGGTATTATCTAATTGTGTAGTTAAATTTAACAGCTGACAGATATTCAACATAATTCATGTGTGAGAGTCTAACAGAAGGACGGACAAAACCAGTCAAAGAGTTCTTGTCATATTTTATTATCATTTTCTAAACTATAGCGAATAAACTGTGATAATGTGAGAAATGTTGAAGGAGTCTGAATACATTTAGGTTTGACTGTATATCAGCGATATCCTCAGAAGAGACTCTCTCGTCCGAATCCCACCGAGACGATCTCAGATCCAACTTTCCACAGGCATCATTGTTCCACTCGCTCCCGCAGATGGTTTGGTTGGAAGAGTTCTCGATCTGCATTTCCAGTGGGATTTTTTGTCTGCATCTTCTTGCAGGAATGTCAGTACGGCCACAAAATGTGAGTTTATTTAATGCTGCTCCGTAGAGGTTTTCTCTTAACGCTAAATATATTTCTATACTGTATTTTTAAAAGGGTTTTGCAAAGACAAAGTTCTGCTTTGATGAAGGGAAGTACACAGTGAATGTTTTTTCATACAACTTTATTCTTTTTTCCATATATCATATTGTCCGAGAAAATAAGCTTTTCTTGAGTTTAGTTACACAAGTGTTGATTGTTGCTGCGAGTAACAGTGAGAGTTACAGTAACGTTTATAGGTAACACTTTACTTGAAGGGGTGTGCATAAGACTGACATGACACCTTCATAACCATGACATGACACATGTCATGAATATGAAGGAGGTTTATGCATGTTTATGATAACTGTCATTAAGTGTCTTTCGCTCAGTTATGAGATTTTGAATGCAAATATGACATTGTTTAAGATGTCTTTGTTATGACACCTTGACATAAACCATAACATCATAACCTGTCAGTGTCTTTGTCATGAGAACTTGACATTAAATTAAGTTAAACTGTCATGTGGTTGGTTTCGACATTGGCTGTCATAAGGCCATTATAACTGTGTCATGAATATTTTTCTTGACCTCAACTACAGTGATACACATTGAATTTGTCATTAAAATGTTACAATGGCCTCATAACAGCCAATGTCAACACCAACCACCTGACAGTTTAATGTAATGTTAACCAATAAAGCTAAGTGGTTTCTTAAGTTTGATAATTAATCTGCTAGGTCATGTTTATGACAGGTTGTGGTGTCTTAGTAATGTCAAGTTGTCATGACAAAGACAGGTTATGATGTATTGGTTTATGTCAAGGTGTGATAACAAAGACATCTCAAACAATGTCATATTTGCATTAAAAATGTCATAACTGAGCGAATGACACTTAATGACAGTTGTCATAAACATGCATACAACTTCCTTCATATTCATAACATGTGTCATGTCATGATTATGAAGGTGTCATGTCAGTCTTATGCACACCCCTTCAAGTAAAGTGTTACCTGTTTATCTTTTCTTTGAGGTAACTTAAATGAAGTTTAAAAGTACTGTTACGATTCTTCTTAAAGATCGCAACAAAAGATCGCAAACGCCACACAATCGCTGCGTAAACCATAAGATTTATTTACATAAAGTAATTAACATGTGGTGTCAAGGGATCAGTATAAATGTTAGTTAGTGTGTCAGCATGTATTTGTACGTGGCAAGCTCAAGTGATGTCAGTTCAACCAAACATAACCAAAACATAATCAAAAAGTCCAATCAGAAGATCGTCAGCAGGGGAAGTACATCACATCAGCTCTCCGAAGCGATTGTGCTCTCCCGTGACCCATATGTCCTGTGAGCTCTCTGGAAGTTCCCAGAGCTGCAACATCACCCGCGAGCCATCGAACTCCCGTCTCTGTTTGACCCAGTGTCTTTTAAAACACCATAATCTGGTTCAGGTGTAAAGCCACGCCTCCCGGCAATCAGCCTATAACTCAGGGACAAAACACACGAGCACTCACTGCACAAACACTCATTGAACCGTCACACACCCCCCTTTAAAAGATCCGATATCTTATGAGGATCCTCAGAACTTCTCAAAAAAAAATCTGAAAAATAAAATAAACAAATCATACTTTCCTTTCAAAACATTCTTTATGAAGTCCGATTCCCGTGTTACCAGTGTTTTCCCACAGTCACCTCTAATCTCCTAGATTACTCAATTTATTTCCAGCAATCTGGATCCTGAAAGCATATTAAGGCAACAAACAGAGCGCACAGAAAAATAGTAACAACTGTTAAAACACCTACAGTACACCATTCAATCTACTCAGGAACACGAGATAACGCATCTGCCACTACGTTATCAGTTCCCTTGATGTGTTTTACAGTTAAACTGTAAGGCTGCAAAAAAAGAATCCAGCGCATTAACCGTTGACTCGGAGACTGTAAAGAGTGTAAAAACGTTAAAGGGTTATGATCAGAAAAAACCTCCACAGGTAATCCGCCCCCCACGTACACATCAAAATGCTGAAGAGCCCAAATTAAGGATAATGCCTCTTTCTCTATTACAGAATAGTTCCTTTGGTAAGTATTAAACTTACGAGAAAAAAAACTTACAGGATGGTCAAGTCCACTCTCACCAGTCTGTAATAGGACGGCTCCAGCACCAATCTGGCTTGCATCTACTTGTATCTTAAATGGCTTATCCAGCCTAGGGGCAGCTAAAACAGGAGCAACAGTTAATAACATTTTAACATGTTCAAACGCCTTCTGACAATTTGTACTCCAAACAAAATTGACAGCACCCTTAAGGAGATCAGTTAACGGAGAAACAACAGTTGAAAAATTTTGGCAAAAACCCCGGTAATACCCAACCATCCCTAAAAAACGCATCAACTCCTTCTTTGTTGATGGAGGAGGAAATTGTTGAATAGCCGCCACTTTAGTTTGAACAGGACGCACCTCACCCTGTCCAACTTCTTTTCCCAAATATCTGACAGTACCCTTTGCAAACTCACATTTTTCCAAGTTAACTGTCAGACATGACTCAGCTAAACGCAGCAGAAGCGCACGGAGATGTACCAAATGTTGTTCCCATGTATCACTGAACACAATAACATCATCCAAATATACCGCACAACCCTCCAGGCCGAAGACCACTTTATTCATCAATCTCTGGAAGGTTGCGGGTGCATTTCTCAAACCGAAACTCATAACAGAGTAAGAATATAACCCTGATGGTGTAATGAATGAAGTTATCTCTTGAGCTCTGGGAGTTAAAGGCACTTGCCAATATCCCTTTAGAAGGTCTAATTTGCTTACGAACTTCGCAGACCCCACCTGATCCACACAATCCTCCATTCGAGGAAGTGGAAAAGCGTCAGGTTTAGTAATAGCGTTTAATTTGCGGTAATCAGTGCAAAATCTATAAGTAGAATCTGGCTTTTTTACCAACAAGCATGGTGAAGCCCAACTGGAGCATGAAGGAACAGCAATCTCATTATCAAGCATATACTGAACCTCTGACTCCAACACATTCCGCTTGTTGATAGGAACCCTATAAAAACGCTGACGGATAGGTCTCGCGTCTCCCACATCCACATCATGCTGGATCAAATGCGTACGGGTGGGCACATCTGCAAACAAACTAGGAAAATCAAACAACAACTCTATCAATTCTGATTTTTTTAACTCTGACAAATGTGCCAACAATGCATCTAGACTCTGAAGGGTCTCTGAATTCTTTAACCTTGGAAGCAAAACACAGTCTCCAGGTACAATCACATCCTCCCCTCCCTCTACAGAAAAAGGTTGAGAAGTATCCAGAGGGACAGCAGCAACAGTAACAGCTGGCTTAACCAGTTGAGTGTCAGATTTACGAGAATGATAAGGCTTAAGTAAATTTACGTGAAAACACTGTTTAGCCTTACGCCGATTTGGGGTTGCAATTTCATAATTTTGGTCAGTCATTTTTTTAAGAACAGTATACGGACCAGTAAATCGCGCGCAAAACGGAGATCCAGATGAAGGTAACAAAACCAACACCTGATCACCCGGCATAAAAACACGGCATTCGATATGTTTGTCAAAGTGTTTCTTCATCTTATCTTGTGCTCCGACAAGATTTTTCTGAGCACTCATTCCAGCTAAAAATAAGCGTCTACGGAAACCATCTACATATTCCAACAAATTCTGAGGAGGATCCTTTTCAACCAATCCTTCCCTCCAAACAGAAAGAGGACCCCGTACACTGTGACCAAATACAAGATCATTCGGGCTAAAACCCAAACTCTCCTGTTGTACCTCTCTAGCTGCAAGTAATAACCAGGGTAAACCCTCCTCCCAGTCACGATTCAACTCCACACAGTAAGCACGTAGTAACGATTTCAATGTTTGGTGAAAACGTTCCAGCGCACCTTGACTTTGGGCGTGATATGGGCTTGATTGATTGTGCTTGACCTTAATCACTCTCAAAATCTCAGCAAACATACGTGAAGTAAAATTAGACCCTTTATCGCTCTGAATAATCTTCGGTATCCCAAAAATAGAGATGAATTGGGTTAACGCTTTCACAACTGCTTTAGTTGTAATTCTTCTAATTGGATACGCTGCCGGGTATCGAGTTGTTTGGCACATCACAGTCAGCAAATATACATTACCTGATTTAGATTTAGGTAATGGACCCACACAGTCAATTATTAGGTGCTCAAAGGGTTTACTTGTGACCACAATAGGACACAAAGGCACCGGTCTCAAAGACTGATTCGGTTTCCCTGTTAACTGACAGGT